TTGTATGTGTGAACATTTCTAAGTATTAAGGACAGTAATTAAGGCATAATGGCATTTAATTGTTGCTGAATATGTTTACAGTGTTTAGAAAGAGCCCTAGGGTGTACCTGTACTAACATATTCCCTAAAATGTTTATTGTAGGCAAGGCTCAACAATAAGGATGGCCCAAGGTCAGATGGCGGTACTCACACTTGTTCTGTTGGGCCAGTGCTGCTTGTCACAAAATATTATGTCTGTTTGTTATGACATTTAGTTTTCTGTCACATGTCCAAAATTATTGCTAATCGTGCTGATTTAAATATGTCATTTAATTTAATTTAGCTTTAATTACATTTCAGTTCAAAGCCATGCTAACGTTTGAGGAATGGGCTGAAATGTAAATTATTATTTACTAGCTCTCCATGGCACATTTAAGAGAGAAGTAGCAATACACATTTTTTGGTGGTTTTGCATTAATTTTGAAGTTCGAAACCTTCGTTCCCCATTTATCAAATTTGTCATGTGAGCTTGAGCTTAAGAAATGATGCTACAATGCATCCTGTGTGTATGCTGCTTGATTATGATAAACATAATCATGATTATTTAACATGATTAGAAGTGACCAAAATCATATATGATATTTTTTTTTTTAATGAAAGAGATATAAATATATTTTACTGGAAATAAGTCCTCACTGTGAGAATTAAACACAATAATTCTTACTAGCTACTAAGGCTATTCAGTCAAGAGCAGTGATTGGTTTTTTTTCTCGTTCTTTTGTTGTTTGATTCACATTAAGGACACAGACAGCAGAATGTTTATTAGGTTGCTGTCACTTTAAGACCTATCTAATATACTGACACGCATCCAATTTATTTCTCCAACTGTTTATGTTCACTTAAGACATAACTGACTGTGTTTATGCGAATACTCTCTAAAACAGGCATTTTGACTTTTTTTGAGTGTGTACATAAAGGATAGAAAACGAAAATCAATTAATTGCACAGCCCTAGTATATGCCCCCTAATCATCAATGTCATTTGCTTCTGGATATGATGGTGGTAGTGTGACCAGTTCCCTGGTAAAGTGGGGTTCACTTCAGGTCCAGTTTAGGGATAAGGAGACCTGTTATTACAACAACCTGTCTCTCTTCATAGCTCCCCGTTTCTTTTAGTTTTTTCCTAGAAAGCTGATGGAAGCATGTGTAGAAGTGTTGAAGAGAATAGTATAGTCTTCTGTTCACATGAGAGAGAGCTCTTTCACAACACAGGTTTCTATCAGCATCTACATTCCCTCGCAGGGCTCTCAGGTCCGGCCATCAGCAGGTCAGGTAGAGCTACAAAGAAAGATAGCACAGAGCAGTGATTGTGCCACCTACCCAAGAGCCCCACACCTCAAAACCAGACCCGCACGGAATATGCAGACTTTTCATGCACTCTTATTGGGATGATATCTATGTACTGTGGATATAAAAGTGCATTATCAAATAAATGGCTTGTTATCCAATGACCCCCATGATGGGGGTTTCAATTCTGCGGAAAATTGAGTTGTGTGGGCACGGGTCCTGTGCGGGCCTGCTCATAACACAGATAGGCCATGAACTGACTCTCTTCCCCTCCTCAAGCACAAATGTCCCAGTTGTGAGGCTGACATTGCCGTCCTAGATTCTGGAGAGTTAAAAAAAGTGATGTTATGCCTATGGCTTTGTGCCATAGAGCCTCTGGCAGTCTTCATTTCTTGCCTTAACCTGCCCTCTTGTTGTAGTGCCATGGAATGTTCTCCGACTCTGGAGATTTTTGTGTAGTAATTGAGTATAATTAATTCTACTTTAATAGGATCTTTTTACTGGCAAACTACTAAGACCAGTGGAATTTATTTCTGGAACTTTAATGCAAATTCCTAATATAGAACTCTGTAAAGAGATTGTCTCTTTGTAGCAAATCGGCCAACTTCTGGTTTTTAGTCCTAAAATTTAACCACTATGCCACACCACCCCCTTTCATCCTCCACTTAAACCTTAGAATGAATTATTCATTTTCAGACCTTCACAGCTGTCATGCCATTTCTCATGAGTGTCGAGAACGTCCACTGTGAAGACACTTACGCGTCAAGCTGATTTACATCAGAGCGTTTCTGCTAAGCATGGCAAACTTTGTGTCCTGCGTGATTCAACACAATGTGAAAGTTTGACACCAGCTTGTGATTCTGAGGGTTGGAAGACCTTGCAAAGTTCCAGCTCTTCAAAAGCTCAGTCGGCAAAGTGTTTGCCCTGGAGTCTCAGTGTGTTCATGAAAATAATCAACTTGAGCCATCATATTTATCAAGTCTGATCTGTTTCCGCTGTACTTGTCTGTGTTGTCCCATTTCACATCTAATAGATACAGCAGTCAGTTCTGAGAGGCCAGTCTGAGGCCAAGGGTTCAGGAAATGAACAGCTCCTTTGGCTTACCCCATATGGCTTGAGTAAAAAGCCTCTGACTCTCTGCTTTTTGTTTGAAAAAATGCTGAGCCAAAATACCTGCATTGCAAAACAAACCGCATAAGATGTTCCTCCATGATCCTTGATAAGATGAGTCAGGCTTGTTTTGGGTTAAAATCCACAAATAGGCAAAGCTTCCAGACTGACGCTGCAGACATCTAGAAATGTAAGATTTGATTCTTGCCTGAGACTTCCAAAAAATTGTGAGCTGCCAATGTAGCTATTTGAGGCATCGTAGCTACTCGGGACAAAATGTCTTTTCTCAAAGACTGGCAGCATGACTTCTTTGCCTTTTAAGATGCCGCCTTTTGGTCGATTTCTAAAGCAACATTGCATATAATCTTCGCAAAAAGGCAAAACCAGAATGCACTGAAAGGAACATCCATTCCCAATGGCAAACAAAACCAAACTCTGCAGTAAGTTGAGACTTCCAAAGGGTTTCAAAATGGTCCTTTACGAGGTTCTGGTAGAATGCTGAAAGCCTGGCTGAATATATCAAACAAGTTTCTCCGACTGGATGGAATCATAGTCTGAAGCTAAAAAAAAAATCTGAGACTGTGGCTATCATACACTATACAATTTTCTATGAAGTCTGTCAACTCTGTCCGAAATCTGCATACGCTCTGATTTTTGGCTAATAGCATTGACTTGTCCAGACTGCAAATCAGACCAAAAATCTGGGCAAAAGTGGCGTAGTGTATGGAGGGTTGCAAAGAGGTGGAAAATGTCTGGTAATTTTACCAGACAAAAAAAATATTTTTTCCAGAATTTTTTTTTCTGGAAAAAAAATTCCAGAAATTTTGGAAACTCTTAGATTTTATTAATTTTTGTAGGAAAGTTTCCATAAATTTACCAGAAATGTTCTACCACTTTGCAGCCCTAAATGTAGGCAACTGATAGCAAGGCTTTGCAGCAGAGTTTACCTCTCATACATAAGAGCAAAGAGTTGTTTTCTTAGTTTTACAGGATGCTTTCATGCACCCTGATGAAATGGTCATTGCTTAAAGGGGTCATATGATGCAATTTAAATTTTTCCTTTCTCTTTGGAGTGTTACAAGCTCTTGGTGCATAAAGAAGATCTGTAAAGTTGCAAAGACTAAAGTCTCAAATCCAAAGAGATATTCTTTATAAAAGTTAAGAGTCAGCCACACCTACCTAAAACGGCTCGTTCTAACACGCCCCCACATATCTACCTCACTATGTGGGAAGATTTACATAACGCCGCCCAAATGTTCACTCAAAGAAAGAAGACGTAACTTTTATTCTCACTGTAGTATTGTTGACGCTGCAGCCATGTCGTGAAGACGCTGTGTGCTTCGTTGTGAAAGCGAAACTACTTTGTTTGGTCTTCCAAAAGAGGAC